CCTAACAATCAGTAGCAATCAGTAACACGTATATACTAGTCCATCTATTACTTCAGTTGGTGTTTCAGAATATTCTTTAGTTCTCTCAACTGCTACTATGTTGGTCTCAAGCTCACTTGTCATCCTTACCATCCAGTTGAGAGCTTGCGTGACCTAATAAAGCATGTAGTCATTTTTGTGAGAAACCAATGATAAATGGTTTACCTGTAGTGCATATGATATTGAGAGACCAGCTATGCCCGGACTAATAGAACCAAAGACCCCGGAATAGTTCCTTTGCAGGACAGCAAACAAAGACGCAAATAATATGATTAGATTACCCAAAAACTCAAGACGGATGGCTAACCATCTATTTAAAGTGTATAAAATATCAGAATATTATGTCAGAACATTATGATACCTGTTAGCACAAATACTGGGATAATAAGCAATCTGATTGTAGTCTACTCTAGCCTCAGACTGCAATTGGAACTGGTCCACTTTAGAATAAGCTCTGATACTGGTGGCTCCACTAATACTTTCTTGAAAGTGAGAGTATATAGGAGAGCGGGATGATGACTCTAATCTCTTCAACTGTCTTGATGTAGCTACATAGAAACGCTATGTATATGATAAAAATAAAAAAGGCTTCACCAAATTGAAAGTTGTCTTTACTTGTATCAGAACATACAAAACCATTAGTGGTACAATGATGATCAAGAACCATGGAGAAGCTATCGATATCACAATTATTGTACTAGCAACAGAAAGCAGTGTCATTAGAAACATCTTATATGACCTTGGAATAGCCTCATCAATTGTATAGATATCCTATTGCATTGTTATATCATCACATACTGTAGAGGCTTTTCTTACCTTTGAGAACCTGTTGAGTATTCTACCAAGAGGTGTAGTATCAAAGAATGACATTGGTGATCTGAGGATATTACTCAACATTCCATCATGGAGTTTAACTGATGCTTTAAGAGAACCAATGGCTAAAGCAAAAGAACTGAACAAGACCATCAGCCCTTGCAAAACACCAAGAGAAGCATAAACACCAAGATCAAGAGTCCTGTAAGAGAAAAAAATGATTATTATTTCATAATAATTATTTTAATCTATTTTATGTCCTCAGAATAAATGAGTCACTGTAGCAGTTAGAAGTACTTACAAGTTAGAGGAATTGCTGTTCTCTTCTCCATTGCTCCAGTGAGCTAGCCAAAGGTTCTGTCCAACCGAGGCACCATTACTCAATACAGTAAAGAGGACAATGATGAAACTCATGTAATATGTACAGGCCTTAGCATAGTCTATGAACACTGAAAACTTGACCTAAAAAATAAAGAAAGAATAGTAGTACAACTAGCTAGTATAATAGCCTACAGTTCCTGTTTCAACTTTCTCTGCTCCAATCAGTTGTGTCCTCTCATTAGCTTCAGCTTTGGTGATCTTCTCATCATTAATGATTGAGGCTTGCTTTGAGAGCTGTCGCTTCAGGTCTGTCTTGGACAAACCTCGGTTTAACTTTGGTCTGGGTCTAACTGGAGCAGGAATACCTTCACCATCTACATCAAATGAATAAAAAGATTTTGGTGATTGCTTAGCATGATTTTGTTAAAAAAGACTAGGAGAAATTCTTCATTTTTATAATTCTTCTCATATATATATAATATACAGTACATGTAGTACTTATGTTGCATAGGAAGTTTGAGCTGGTTCTGATCAAAATTAGATTTTTTACGAATTTTCAAAGGTGCTCTAAACACTTAGAATGATTTGTAAAAGTAAGAAGATGCGTTGATTTTTGCTATTTTGAAGAAGTACAGCAACTTGCAGCTCTCTTTCTTATTTCCTCTCTCTTTCTCTCCTTTCTCTATTTTCCTACCATCAATGCCATCGGAAGACTTGTATCTTGATCTCTGTCTTACTAGATAAGGACGTGCAGCAGTTTCCTCATTATTATTATTATCAGAAAAAATCGCTTCCTCAACTCCATCACCTTCATATTCTGCATACTCATTGGCATCTATAAAAAAACCAAACATGTAAATATAAAGCTAATTTGCTTTTTTGTATGCATCAATACTGATGATCCATGATGGTTTATTACTTACATGGATTTCCTTCATCTTCTTCATTCCCTTCGTTAGTTCCATAGTTGTGTAATAGTTCAGCAAATGTTCCATCTTGGTCAATCAGTTCATTATATGATCCTACCTCAGTTATACGTCCATTACTCATCACTATTATCTTGTCACACTGTGACAAGAATCCTATACCATGTGTCACTAGTATACGTACCTGGGAGGGACACTCACACTAGCTACATGTACAATATAGTTACTCTTACTTTTCCTTTCAGCACTCCTTCTGGTCCTATTACTTTATCAAATATGTGTTTACCGACATGTGAATCAACAGCAGATAAAGGATCATCAAGTAAATACACATCAGACTCTTGGTAGACTGCTCTAGCTAGACTAACACGTTGTTTCTGACCACCACTGAGATTAATACCCTATCAATAGGACCTGTGTATCAGGAGTATATCACCTTCATATCTGACCTTCTCTCCTATCTCTGTCATGTCTCCTCCTGGTAGTATTTCAAGGTCAGTCTCAAGGGCACAGGATTGTACAGTCTGTCCATAAAGTATAGGATTGAGTGGTTTACCAAACAATATGTTATCCTTAACAGTAGCATTCTGTATCCATGCCTGCTGTGGTACATAAGCTACACTGCCCTATCATGAGATGAGTGGTTATTGTACAAAGATGCTGTTCACTTACTCTCATTACAACTTGTCCATTTAGTTTATCCATTTCACCTAACAGAGCTGATATCAAAGAGGATTTACCAGCACCAACAGGTCCTACCACAGCAACAAGTTCTCCTGGTTTAACTGACAAGTCAATACTAATATAGAATGAATGAATAAATAAATAAATAAATAAATAAATGCTAACTTGTGCAGTGCTGGTCTTTCTGGTGTGTCCCATGTAAATGATCCACCAGTCACTGATACAGACTCCTCATCACCTGATAATCACATGACTATAATACAACCACACACACACACACACATACCAACAGCTGGTTCGTCTCTCCTGTTAGTATTATTAGGATCAAGCTCTTCCCCTTTAAGGTAACTAGACATGCGCTTAACAGAAACACTAGCCTAAGAAACAGAGAGAAAGAAGACAAGTTGTTATTGTCATTGAATATTGTTATTACCTCAACAGCACTTGATATGACCATTGGTAGCATTGAGAGAGGAAATCTCAATATGTTAAACAGAGAGAGAGCAACAAAAGCTTTCTCAGCTGTGAGTCTGTCATCAGGATTAGTGCTGTTACGATGAACTAGAGAATATGTAGCAAAAGTTGCCAAAGCAACCTAAAATAATAAGAAAATAATAAACAATATTTCCAGCACTTTATGATAAATGCTATTCATTAATAATAACACCACAATAACCTTGACCTGCTATTGTCACACATACACAATACACATAAAATAGACTCTCACCATGAAAGGAGCACAGGTCCAAGTAAATGAGAAACTAGCATTGGCATATGCTGACTTCTTGAGCACATTAACCTCTTCTTTTCTGAGGCCCATTATCATCTGCTTGAATGGTATCTCCCACGCATACAATTTGATAACCTTAAAACACAATGGTAATAAAATACATCCAGCTTCTTAGCTCCCCCTCTCACTAAAACTTTACACACTATAAAGTATAAATTGGGTCATACCTTAATTCCATTGAGTACTTCATTAACAATCTTAATCCTTGAGTCTTTCCATGTCATCAGTTGGACTTGGAACCTACGACTAAGAGCGGCCATTACCATATTAAGAGGAACAAGCAATATCATCACACCAAAGCCAGCAAATATGGAGGGGCCCATTGTTGCATACAGGAAAATGAGAGAGAGTACAATTTGAAGAGGAGAAGACCAAAGGTAGTGCATGTATGTCACAAAGTCCATGAAACGTTGAGCATCTACTGACATGAGGTTAACCACTTCACCAACAGTCCTGTTCTGACGTGACTTGTTACTTAGCGTGAGTGCCTGTCAGATAAGAAAAAGAGTAAAAAGAGAAAGAGAGAGAGGAGTAACTAAACTAACCTTTCGATATACAGCTGCAATGACTCCAGATCGAATCCTCATACCAGCTACAAAGCAGCTGTGGAAATACTGGTGTAGGATGATGGACTGTAGTACTGCAGCTCCAAACATTATCAAAGTATAGAAATATCCTTTCCAAGCTGGTTCATCAGGATCCTTCACATATTCAATGAGCAACCTGCACAATTGAAAGTTAAATTAAACACTTACATGTACCTTTAAAAATTTAGACTCACTTTAGGATTTGAGGACTGACGAAAGCCAGGAGGTCATTAGCAAGTTTAAGGAACCCAGCTAAGAAGAGAAGGAGACCGTAGCTCTTGGTGAGCGCCACTACCAATGATGGTGATCTTCTTCTCACTGTCACACCAGGTTCTGTGTTATTGGTCCTGTAGAGAGATATATATATATATAATTATGAAAAAGGAAGAGCCTGTACCTATCCTTTCCCATTTGCTGGTCCCATGCCTGCTGGAATCTTGGTGAGACGACTCTTGATTTCTCCCCGTAATTCAAGTCATACAACTCATTATATGTCAATGCTTTTCTGTACCCTTTCCAGACTAACCTATCAACAAATGAACATAATATACTTACTATGCCATACATATGCTACACTCATTAATTTGTGTCTGTTATCTTTGGCAAGCTTTAAATGAAGCCATAAACAAAATGAGAAATAGTAAATAGCCATATACTACACTCAGCATATAATAAGACAATTAGGACATCAAAAGTTTACCCTCAAGCAATTTTAGGTAAGAAATCATAAGTTCATGTTTTTTTTAAATTACAAACATTTTTATTTTCTAGTTAATTTTTCTGTTAAACTTACTTGTTCAACCACCACCATGTTATACGAGAGAAAAATGGAGCTGCTTCTTCAGGACATGGCTCTCTCTAAATGCAATAGTAAACATAAGGTCCATTACATTAAGATTATTATTGATATTAAAAGCTATTATTTATAATTACTTTATAACTTTTTTATTTACAAATTCTTTTTTAGAAATTTTTGACAAAATAGCCTGTACTATAGTATAGGATCTTTGACCCAATTTTGGAGCAAATTAAAAAATTTGTAAAAAATTCAATTTTGATCAGAATCATCACAAACTTGAAACACAACATAAAAACATGTTTATGCATCAGAAAAAAATTATAAAAACAAAAATTCCTTCCTTGCCATTTTTGGCAAAATTTGGCTTGAGACCCTGTACTATAGTACAGGGACTTTGACCCAATTTTGGAGCAAATTTAAAAATTCGTAAAAAAATTAATTTTAATCGGAATCAGCTCAAACTTTTTACACCACATAAAAACATGTATATGCATCAGAAAAAATTATAAAAATGGGAAATTTTCTCTTTTTCATTTTTGATGGAATTTGGTTCAAGACCCTTACCCTAACCTAACCTATTCATTTTATTTATTATTTTTCTCTCACTTATTTCCGTTATTATATCTCTTTTTTTTAACCTACTATTTATCCCTGTGTTATATCTATTTTATTTTTTTTTAAATGTTTATTTAAGGGCTCAGTTCCCTCCTACACTGTACTATAGTACAGGGGCTTTAACCTGATTTTGGAGCAACTTTAAAAATTCATAAAAATTATTAGTATTATGTAATTTCCACTATTCCTATTACTATTGCCCTTCTCTGGGGAATAGTGACTCACATCGTCTTCCCTGAAATAGTCATAAGGAGATTTTGGTTCAGGTATAAGAGAGAGAATCATTTGTACAATAAAGAGCACAAACTCAATCATAAAAGTTGAGAAACGAAAGTGACCAGCAACCTCCTAAACAAAAACAAAACAAAATTAACTCAAGTTCACAATGCTTATACATATTAATATACAAGATTTATTGCAATAGTCAGGTTCTAAATGTACTATATCAATAATCTTACTCCTTCATCTCTAGCAATAAGAACTAGTGATCTTGTCTTTATTGATGCATAAGCTACAAGTGACATCCAAAAGACAGAAAGAAGACCTGAAGATCGTACGCCTCTCCTACGCTCAAAAACTATCAGAACAGCTGCTACTATCTGTATGATAGTGGACATAGAAAGCAAGGATAGTTAAGTGCACATAAAAGTTTATTCTATACTGACCATAGTGAGGAAGAGCACAATGGGAGAAAAGAAGTAAAACTTTGCCTCAGTCTCTTTAGTGCTTTTGATGATGGTGTATATCAGATCACATAAAGTTGGTATCATTATAACACAACAGAGTGTCTGAGAAAGGAAACGAGAGATGGATATAATATAACAAATAGTGGGAGGGCATCGTGTTAACTAAACTGACTACTAACTTAAATCAACCACTTATTCCTTGACATTGTATTATATTTGCACGTACATCAATTATTGTAACATTAAAATTTTGCACCTTAGCAACTATCATACACAATGCAATCAGTAATGCAATTAAGAAATAATACAAGTCTTCTTTGACTGCTATATAAGGAAGTGCTGAGTGTATACATTATTAATAATTATTTAGTCTGTGGTATATAAGTGTTAATGTTATAAGGAAGTGAATGTACTAATGAAATCATCGCACAATAGTTAGTAGTTTGCACCAATTGTCACCATAGCAATTATCACAAGTAGAACAACAATAACTTCCATCCCAACATATAATCATAATGGTGCTATTGGACAACTTTTACTTACTATCTTAGCAATGTTGAGCCATCCCCTTGGAATGGAGGGCTTGTTGCTGCTCCCAATAAGGAAACCAATGGCAGTCAGTATCCAGAATATGGCGCATATACCAAACAATATGGCTGTGTCTTCAAAGCAAAGGGTAAGGTCCACACTGTCATGCCAGGCGTAGCCACCAGATTCGTTTCCTGGGTTTCCTGGATACAGCATCCAACTGTCATCTCTCCTCTGTAAATTAAGTACATAAACATAGATAATAGTTTGTTTTAGTTATTCTACTGACCCAGAACAGAGATACAGGATAGCAAAAGTCGTCCAAGTGATCAAGAACGTTGAAACCCATCTTTGTCCTTTTCCACAGCAACAAGCAGCCTGCAAGAACTGAACAAGAGACAGGGGTTGTGCTCGTAAAATTTGTCTTTATGTATCTAAAATTGATTAATAACTTTTAATTAACCAGGCCATTGGGTGGTGGTTATTAAAGGTCAGCAAAATCAGCATGGCTCTCTGCTTTCGTTTGCTTCTCCTTGCTGGATTAATCTTCTTTGAGTCTTGCTATGCTTTCCCCCGCAAACAAGTAGGAGACCCTCTCTCAGCTGTACAGGGGCTGGTAGGCCGCATTTTGGGCAGTGAATATGTAGGAAAGCTCCAGTACGAGGTCATAGATGATGAAGATGGCTATGATGTTTTTGAGATTGACAAAGGGACCTCATCTCCTGTTGTCCTTAGAGGTAACAATGGAGTTGCTTTAGCCTCAGCATTGAATGGTTACCTAAAGTATTACTGCAACTGCTCTATATCATGGGGTATAGACAGAAGTGGTGATCAGCTCAACCTACCTAGCCCATTGCCTCAGCCACCTGTCAAATCAAGATATGTTTCTCCAGTCAAATATAGGTAACATAAAGTTTATGCATGCAGTTTGTTTAATCAATGGAGCTTTGTAGAGGGGCTTTAAATTCTAATAGCAGTTTACATAATACAAAAACTGTATGAGCCCATTAAATGTCACTTTTGAAGTATGTTCACACCTAAAGTGAGCTCCACCCAACAGCAATAGTAGGGCTAGGGCATGATTTATATTATACTGTGTTACTTTTACCAAGAGTAGATAACAGTTGCTTTTACTATAGGTACTATCAGAATGTCTGCACTGTATCTTACTCAATGGCTTGGTGGA